CATGCCCCATACTTTGAAGTGTTCAAGGCCAGGTTGGACAGGGCTTTGAGCAACCTGGTGTAGTGGAAGATGTCCCTGCTCATGGCAGGGGAGTTGTAACTAGATGATCTTTCACATATTCCCTTCCAACCCAAATCATTCTGTGATTCTATTAAAATACCAATATCTGTAATTCCCACATACTAGCAACTTGCGATTCACTTCAGTGAATAAATCCTCTCTCTCCTCTTCATTGTTTGTGATGATAAGGAATCATAGGCCCCACAACTTACCTACTCTAGTGACTGATACACACTCAATATTTTGTGCTGTTACATTGGGGAAATACCTTTCTAAAAAAACCCATCCTGTGATGTTCTGTAGAATGAGTGAAAGGACAAATGCAATGTACTATTATGTTATGTTGGCGTTGGAAAAAACTGCTGTCTTAACTGATGTGTGTTCTGTGAGGAGGATGATAGTAAAAGAGTCCAAAGTGTACCAGTTCTCCACAGTTTAGGTAATCTGGCAGGCATAGTAGGAATATGAATGGATTTCATGGGAGTTTCTGCACACCTTTTTAAATGGGATGTGGCATATTTATAAGAGGCCAATTCACACTACTAAGTGGGCTTCATATGATTACACTAGAACAAATTAATGTATTTAAAAGAAGTGAGCTTTTCCTGTGACATCTGAATAGATAATCTATTCGTTACGTTGTGATGTTTAAATACTGTGACATCAAAAAATATGAAATATGCTAAATTTAATCTGCATCTGGACATGGGTAACTACAAAACAAGGCTCTGGAAACACTGGAGAAAGTAATGAAGAAACACATGGGAAAAGCAGCTGTCATTCAAAATGTCTGGTCTCAGTAATGACTGAGTAAATATGTTGTGACAGGGGCAAGAATTGTAAAGTATATAAGGTGGAGGCAATAATCCACAGCCACAGCATGATGCATAGTTATTTATTATTGACCAAAAATAGCTTCAAACAAAGCAATTATTTAATAATTTTATCTCTTAATCGATGAAAGCTGTTCTTCTCAAGCCTACTATCCTTAATGTTTTTTTTCCACCAAGTGGCAGCTCTGACTTCTTGTAGAACATTCTTACCATAAAGTCTTTTAAAAAATTGATCCGCATTTTGAAAATGATTGTAATATCTCCAGTTCACCTTTTCCCTTCTAGTTTCTTCAGTTATTCCAGAGATAAATTTTTCATGACAGCTTCTATTTCTTGAGTTCTGTTTTCTGTTTTTACATGATAATTGAGTCAGGTAGCTATGATGCTGTTTCTGTAGAAGACCCATTTGGGGTTATCTATCTCTCTCTCTGTGTAGTTTATATATTTATGCTTTTCATTGTTGTTGTTGTTGAGTGTCTTAAGTTGGGCTAATCTATATCTAGTGGAAGGGTATACATTATATAAGGAAATTCAGGCATTTTCAGGTATATGTATAAACTTCGCTTATAGTTTTCTGCTTGTTTTAACTTGTTTACACATTGTACTCCTTTAACCCAAGAGATTCTCTAGATTTGCTTAAACATGAAACAGTTTTGAAGTCATAACAAACAAGAAAATTTTTTACAGATCTGTCATGGGTTTAACCTGTGAGTGGGTTTTGGTAGCGGAGGGGGCTATAGGGTGGCTTCTGTTAGAAGCTACTGGAAGCTTTCACTGTCCTATGAAAAGCCAATGGCAGTCAGTTCCAGGAGGGATTTCCTGATGCTGGCCAAGGCCAAGCCAATGAGATGCGCTTCTGTGATAACATATTTAAGAACAGGGGAAGAGAAGGTTATTGCACAGAAGAAATTCCAGTCCGGGACAACAAGCAGTCACCAAGGTCAGTGAAGCCAGGGGGAGGAAAATCCACTGTAAAATCCACAGTGCTTTTCCAACATATCCATGAAAGAAAAATGCATGGCAACACACCTCACCAGAATCAAATCTATATCTCAGATTCACCTCTTACTGGAGACTCCATGAGGAATGTACATGGCTTGAGGGGCTTGTGATAAATTATAGATGGACAGAGCAGAGTAATAGCAGCAGATATTACATTGAGAAACTTTTTGTTCACAATGTCAAGAAGCTGGTAGCAGGGTGTTGTCTTGTGTTTGTTTGGAGGGGACTGTTTTGAATAACCATGAGCTTGCAACAAATTTTCTGTAATGCACAACCCTCTTCACTTTTCCATCAGATGTAGTTATCAGATAGAAGTATGAAAAGGTGTGGTGTTCTGTATATAAAGTGTGTAGCTACATAGAGAGTCACTATGAACTGATTTATACTGATTACAGGACTGATTAACTTCAATGGAGACTGTATCAAACTTTTATGGCTTAAAGAAAGGGAAGCAACTTCTATGTTTGCTAAAAAGTTTCTTAGAATATCTTTTGAGTTACACATTTGTAAGTGTAAAAAGTTTCATGCTACTAGGGAAGTAAGAGCAAGCTCAACTTTCAGACCTCCTGATGAACTAAACACTTAATGAAAGATGAGCGTCCTCTTGATTTCTCAAATAGGATATATTCTGAAAGTCACTCCAGTTATTCTAAAACCTTCCAAAAACAGTCAATAGAAATGTTCAAATAATTCTTTACATATCACAAACTTGATGAGCCAGCACAGCGTAAAAAAAATCGAAGATACTAATTGCAAAATTCTTTTCTTCAAGTTTTCTAGAGCAAAAGAGATAGGGGAGGTAGGATGTTATATTATATATTAACACAAAATTAATAGATGTATTGACATTAGGAAGATAAGGAAAAACTACAGAATTAATGTAGGATACTCACTTCAATTTTATTTTTTTTTGGTACATAGTTTATCTGTAATTTGTATCTGTAAAGACTTTACTGTTGGCTTGTAGCTTGTCGGTCTATCTGCTTGCTTGGTACACATTTTTCTCAGAAATGGAAATTTATCCAAAGCTTTTTAGAACTGTCTGAAGTTATAGTCTTAGAAAAAAAATGTGCATCAAGCTACCATGGTCAAATTATCAAATTAAGTGCTCTAGTGATTCTTCAGGCATACTGGGTTCTCCCTCTATGTAGGTAGCAAAAATTATAACAGAATCATTCCAAATTTGCTCTGGAATATTATTTTTCAGTAGTAAAATGTTGCGTCTGTTTTCCAATTGGTTATTCTATGAGTGGTAGAAAAATTGAAGACCAAAACTTGACAAAAACTACTGAAAATATGTGTTGTAAGTGGCAGGCAGACACTTTTCTGATCCTAAATACAGAATCACAGAATATGCTGAGTTGAAGGGATCCACAAAGTTGAGTGGATCCAACCCTTAGCTTAGATTGAGTCCAACCCTTAGCTCTGCACCGTGGAGGACCATCCTCAAGAATCACACCATGTGCCTGAGAGCATTGCCCACTGATCAGCACAGAGAAGAGATCAGTGCCTGCCCCTCCTCTTACCATCACAAGGAAGTTGTAGACTACAATGAGGTCTCTCCTTAGTCTCCTCTTCTCCAGGCTGAACAGACCAAGTGACCTCAGCAGCTCTTCATACGGCTTCCCCTCAAGGCCCTTCACCATCTTTGGACACCCTCTAAGAGCTTTGCGATGCCCAAAACTGCACACAATATTCAAGGTAAGGCCACACCAGTGCAGAGTAGAATGAGACAATCATTTCCCTCGACTGACTGGCAATGCTTTGCCTGATGCTCCCTGGGAACTGGTTGGCCCTCCTGGCTGCCAGGGCACTGCTGACTCATATTCAACTTACCATCAACCAGGACTCCCAGGTACTGCTTTCCAGCTTTCCATGGTACTGCTTTCCAGCATCTCATTCCACAGTCTGTATGGACATCCAGGGTGCAGAATCATCACCCCAGGTGCAGAATCTGGCACTTCCCCTTGTTGAACTTCATATGGTTGGTGATTGCCGAGTCCTCTAATTTGTCGAGGTCTCTCTGCAGGGCCTCCCTGCCTTTGAGGGAGTCAACAGCTCCTCCAAGTTTTGTGTCATCTGCAAACTTGCTTAGTATCCCTTCCAGTCCTATGTCCAAGTCACTTATGATGTTGAAGAGCACAAGGCCTAAGATGGAGCCCTGTGGAACCCCTCTTGTGACACATCACCAGTCTGATGCTACCCAACTCACTATTACCCTCTGTGCTCAACCCATGAGCCAATTGCTCACCCACCGCATGATGTGTTTATCCAGCTGTGCTGGACAGTTTGTGCAGAAGGATCCTGTGAGAGACAGTATCTAAAGCTTTACTGAAATCCAAAAAGTTTACATCAGCGGGCTTCCCTTGATCTAGGGTTAGGCTTCCCTAACCCATAACTACATGGGTTACCTTGTCATAGAAGGAAACCAGGCTTGATGAGCAGGACTTTCCTCTCAAGAAGCCATGCTGGCTGTGACCAATGACTGCATTGTCCTCCAGCTGTTTTTCAGTACCTCCCAGAATAATCTTCTCCATAACTAACCAGGCACTAAAGGGAGACTGATAGGCTTGCAGTTTCTGGGTCCTCTTTCTTACTCTTCTTGAAAACTGGGACAAGGTTTGCCAGCTTCCAGTCATCTGGGACCTCTCTGGATTCCCAAGACCACTTAAAATTAAATCAAGAGAGAGGTTTTGTGATGACATCAGCCAGCTCTTTGAGGATTCTAGGATTAATCCCATCAGGCCCCATAGATCTGTAGGAATCCAGCTGGAGCAGCAGATCCCACACAATTCAGGTCATCTGGGAGTTAATCATTCTCGTAGTCCTGGTCCTCCAGCTTAGGGCACTGAGACCCTCTTGGTTCATCATCCATGTTAAAGAAAGAGGCAAAGAAGGCATACCTCTGCCTTGTCTCTGGCCCTGTTTGTGTGGTGACCATATTCATCCAATAATAGACTGATGATATTTCTATCCTGCCTATTGCCATTAATATGTTTGAAAATGCTCTTTTTATTTTCCCCCAAATTTCTGTCCAGCTTCAACTCCAGCTGAGCTTTGGCCACATGAATTTTCTCCCTACAGTGGCAAGCAGCTTCTATATATTCTTCCCATGTCACTTGACCTTGCTTCCACCTTCCTTTTTTGCTTTATTTCCAGGAGAAAATTCCTGTTCAGCCAGGTCAGCCTTCTGTCTTGCCTTCTCGTCTTAAGACATTTGGGAATTTCCAAATGGGATGCTGCAGTCCACTTCTGCTTTCTTTTTACCTGTTAGAGAGGTATCACAATATTTTGAGAAAAGTCTCATGTGAAAAATCTTCTATAATTTCATAATATTCCCAACTGCACATAAAATTCACCTTGAAATAACTGAGAGGTTCAAAATTTAAGCCACAGGTCTGGCCCTTACCATTGTGCAGCTACCCAGCAAAGCTGCTCAGTGGCAGTGTGTTAAGAGTCCTTTACTTTGACAAGGCCAGAGAAAAGGCATTTTGCATGAAAGAGAGAACAGAGAAAGGACATCTGAAAAAACTATCCTGTGGAGTTTTTGGAAAGGACCAATTTGATAATCTGGCCCAACTACTGCTAATGTTTGTTCATAACAGTGAAATATTTTATGTATATTTGCTACTTTTGCATCATAATTTCCTATGGCCCCTGTAGTAAAAGCTTGTAAGAAATCCTCAGCATGATGTCTGTCTGATCATTTTCCAGGTCATCCTCTAGTGATTTTCAGCAGGGCCCAGCTCGCCTCTCAGATGAAGTTTGGAGACTGAAGGGAAATTAGGTGCATCTGAATATGGATCAGCATGCTCTTCCATTTGTGGTAAGTTACCAATCATGAAGGCTGACAAATCAGTATGTTTTATACTGTCTGCAATGAGCTTATGGAATTATTAGAACAGTGAGTTAAACATGATTTTCAAACTGACTTCAGTATGTTTCCACTCTAAACATAAAAGAAAATAGACTTATATTCTCTTAAGCATGTGGAAGAGATACATCCATATGCTCAGTGTACCTGAAAAAACCATGCTGCCACAGCTATTAAAAGAAAAATAGGAAGAAGATGTCATGTGCACATTTCACTTGTATAGTTACTGCCAAAACATATTTCTCTGTTTTTAGTTAAGAGTCTAATTTAGTTGTGTAGTATAATCTTCTCTTCAAAATTAAAGCTTCCGCTTTATAAAGTGATTTTCGGACTGCAATCTGAAGCACTGACTGGAAAACCCAATAAAAGTAATAGAAATATTTTGGCAATTATGCACCATATTTTTTTTTTTTTTTTTAAATTGCCATTTACCAAGTAAGATCATGACAAGATGTTAACAGAATTAATTAAAGACATATGGTAGCCCTGTCATATTTAACACACTCATTTGTCATCACATTCTGCTATCATTTAAACCATTATATCATGCTTGTAAAGTTAGTACAGATTGTCTATAAATATATATATTTCTCTACTAATGATATTTTTTCAAGTCTCTGAGCCAGCCAGAACACATTGCTATTATAATACTTTTTTAGTTCCTAGGAGTTGCATGTTCTGATACTGATAAAGAAGTCAGCATCATTTTTGGAAGTTTATAGTGTATTTAATTTATGTTCCACCAAGACAACCAAAGGTTTAGAAGTAGAAATATTTGTTATACTTGTATGTTGTGACAAAAAATTGTAACACTGAGTTTATCAATTGATTGTTAAAGTTATCCATATTAGCCCCTTAAAATTAGCCAGAGACAGCTGTGTTTCTTAATACATAGTCCTTTTTTCCACCAGTGGAAAAACAAGTCTAAAAATGCTATTTACATGAACAGAAAGGTAAATTTAATCCTATTTATGGACATATTGACCAAAAATATTGACTAAAAAGTTGGGCCAGGGAAGATATAGATTGGATATCAGGAAAAATTTCTTCACAGAAAAGATAGTCAAGCATTGGAATGGGCTGCCCAGGGAAGTGATTGAGTCATCATCTCTGGAAGTATTTAAAAGATGTGTAAATGTGTCACTTATGGCCATGGCTTAGTGGTGGGCTTGGCAGTGGCAGTTAACAGCTGATTTGAGGTCTTGTCTTAGAGGTTTTTTCCAACATAAATGACTCTATGATTCTATACAGTGTAATTGATTCAACACTGAAAGTCAAGAATGGCAATAAAATTGCCTTTGTGTTTCTCAGTGTAAGGAACGTGGAAGTAATTTTAGTCTCATTATGGTAAAAATTCAGTGTAAAAAAATCCTATTAAATTTTCAGATATAAAAGATTTAAAACTTTAACAACCTGAACAATAGTTCAGGTCAATTACTCTCTCACTGTGTTTATCAATTGGTATGACTTAGATGTGAATGCTTGCCAACTCTTACATTTCTGCCAACATAGTAAAGACAAGAATTAGAAAGAACACTCTGTGTCTCATCAAATGGGGGTGACCATGCTCTCCTAGACCACAGGATTCAGTCTGTAGGTGTCAGGCTGAGTCACATGTTTACCCAATGCCAAACTCAGTTTGAAGCACCACTGACACATGAATAAAATCAGCCACCATGTGTAGGTAAACAAAATATGAAGAAGTACACTTAGTTTCTTGTTCTGTACTCACTGAACAAGGTCTTTTAATGCCGAATGTACTTTTTATTTTTTTTTTTTGTCCACAGTTTAAGAAACATGTAACTTCTTCCACTAAGTTTATTGCTGTTATCCAAACTTCCTCTGTGAATTCTATACTGGAATTCTCCCCTAAACCCCTACCACTCATTGCATATTATTCTAAGCAACTGCCCAGCTAATTGTACATATTTAATACAGGCATATATGTAGACATGTTTATATACATATGTATATAGCTGTATCTATAAATTTCGAAACAAATGTATGACTCATTTCTGGTCTTCTCCCTTTATTTCTTCTTTATCTGTTTTGCCACCAGGAAGCTTTTCTGTTTCATTACTGTTCTCAGAGACAAATCTACAGCCATTAGATATGAAAAAGCAGAGTTACAGATTTCTTCTGTCAGTTCTGCCCCCTGGGCTATATTTGCCAGAAAACTGGACAGCAGCACAGATATCTGAGACATCAGTGCAGCCATGGACAGCCACATGAGGGAGTCTGACCAGTATCATTCTGTGTATTTCAGCATAAATCATACATCCTTTATTCAACAACATCAAAATAATGTAGAACACATTCTACCTTCTTGCCCCGAAAACTCAATTTAGCATCTATTGTTTAAAACATAAGTAATAATCTGAACAGAAGCCAGGATATTGTATTAATATCTTTTTAGGGTTTTTCTCCAAGTTTTTTGAAAAACAGAACAGGGAAAGGAAGCATGATCATTATCTTTCCCAACCCCTCCTTCCACCTTCAAGAGAGTGAAGAAAAAGCACCTATCATCTCTTTTCCTAGCTGACCTAATGTCTTGAAGAACATACCTCATGTATCTTTCTTTCTCCAAGATAATTAAATGAACTGATGATCATCATAAGCATGATAAGATATTTGCATGTAAGCGGTCTGAATCCTGCAAACACTGTGATTTTCACTGTTTCCATCCTCAGGCTTCCACTCTGCTTGGGGACTAAAGTGTCTCAGCATCATAGATATGTGTGTAGAAAAGTAATTTTAACAAGTTTCTTTAGTAATCGAGACCTCTGCAATTCCCACAGTAATTGGGATCTCCAGGATGGTAATGCATTTACAGATAGAAAATAAGTAGGGCATAACCAGAAAAGGCTGTGAAAATTTATACAGTGCAATAAAATGAAAGCTTGTGCATACATCTCCTCCCCTCAACTCTGCTTGCTTTGAAGTTGTCAAAAGAATTTATGACTCCTTCCTCTGATCCTGTCATTCCTTCCCTTTGAATTCCCTTTACAATGCCATGTACCATCTTTTCTCCTTGCTGTTTAATCTCAGTCCTCCTGATATTCACTAAGTTGCTAGCTAACAACATTGCTCTTACATGCCTAATAGATACATTTATTGTTCCTCCCATGCTGTCTTTTGTAGCTGGGGGACCATCTTGATCATAAAATATAAAGCCACTTGCTTTGTTCCCACAAAACTGTTTCAAAATTCCCCTTAATTACAATGCATCCAATAAGCATCTAATGAGTAGACAGGTGGTGAACAAAAACATTTACTTTTATGTATTTAATAAAAAAACAAGGAAATTTATCTAAGGGGAAAGAGAAACACTTGATATAGTGAAAAAGCTCCATGTGCTTCCATGTGAAAATCTTATATTTTGTTAATCCATTTCTTCCCAATTCATAGAATGTAATTAAGATTACTTTGTTTATTGGTTCTTTCAAAGAGAAAGAACCCAGCAGTAAATCCTCAGCTTTAAATAGCATAATTTGTCATGCATAGTTTTGCAGAAAGTACTATTCGCTTACATGCCTTGTGTATATCTAACCCAGCATACCCTGACCAGCACCGGTTGTGTGATGACACATCTTTCTTCAGTTTCTGATAATGTAAAAGCGGTCTGTGGAGTCACTGCTGGGAATCATTGGCTGCTTGATGACTACCTACATTATAAAACAGATTTTCTTCTGACCTGTTTGTGAAGTCAAACAGGCTGCTTTCTGACTGGGGAAGAAGAAAGGGCATCCTTCTTTTCCTGATTTGCCCATTTGCTTTTTTTTTTTTTCTTTCTACCACAGGCAGACTACTTGTGTTTTTTTTTTCTTGAAAAAGCCAACTAGTGAGGGACACAGAAAAAATATACTAAGTGAATATTTTTAACCACACAGGTTTATATTTGATCCACTGTGATGAGGTCTGTCTGCTCTCTAGGAGGTTGTTCTCTTCTACTGTTAAAATTTACAGTCACGTACTAAAGCACAAAAAAGACAAACACTTCAGACAAAACCAAATGCAAAGTCTATTATTTCTAAGTCTTTAATATTTGTAAGTTTTCACTTGTAATCCCAGATTTTTTAACAGAAAAGAAATATTTGAGAATACTATCCTTAATAAGAATAGATTAGTGATATTTCATTGATATATAAGTTATTTATGAAAGAAAAAATACTTAGAGATTAATCCAATCACGTAATACAGTCCAATACAATCATGTAATACAATTCGATGATTGTAAATGATAAATACAGTCTGCTGCTGATAAGTATATGGAACAGCAAACCATTTTGATGGTTTTGCTAAAAGGATTTTCACTCTAAAACTGTAACATTTTCATTTAAAATTGTTATATTTTTCTTTCAAAAAGACAACTGAAGAGTAGATACGTCATAATAAGTTTTCTTTCTAATTTTACATGGAGAAAAACCTGTCAGGTTCTATTGTAAAATTAATGGTTCAATGGCATTTTTTCTGCTTTTTTGTTAGATCAGGCACACCACAGGTTTAATGAGGGCACCCCAAAGAGGAGTGCGGTGGCTGGTAGGTACCACATAGAAGGCAGTCAATAAGGAAGATCTATACTGAAAACAGGCATAGGATCTTAGTTATTGCTGAGTGTCATCTTGGCATGTTCTTGGGCAGATCAGGATATTAGGTAGCTATTCCTTATTTGAAATGTCAAGCCAGCATCTTACTGCTCCAAAAGTCAGGTAACTGACCTGCTGTATCCTCTCATTATTAGGAATCTTAAAGAGGATTTATCTGTTCTAGTCATTCTCCTTGACGGCAGAAGCTATTTCTTTGTTAAAAGTGGACATATGAGTAATAAGAAGGGTTTCCTGAGGTTTATGTAGTCATTGTCTACATGTAGAGACAGTGAATTGCACTTTGTGTTAGCTGGCTGGGGAAAATGGTGGGAAGTCACCAGGAATGAGATGTAGACTGAAATCCAC